TTCTTCTTCTTCTTCTTCTTCTTCTTCTTCTTCTTCTTCTTCCACCGTCCGCTCCAGGTTCCCGGACTGAGAGTTCATCAAAGTGAGCACTCACGCCACTCGTGAACTGAAGGACAAGTTATCTCGCTTGCGGCTGGACAATTTCCTCAGAGTCGCCAGCTCTTACTTTCAACGAGACAAACTTTCATTTGCGTAGTTTCGTTCCAAAACAATCCTACTAGGAACCGTACAGTACTAGGCAAGAGAAAGAGATGACGGCAGAGAAGGAGATGGAAGGACAACATCGCAGAGTGGACAGGGAAGACGATGGGTGACAATCTGAGGAAAGCAGAGGACAAAGAGAAAGGACGAGAGCTGGTTTTAAGATGCAGTGGTGCCCAAACGGTTGCCCCAACGACGGGATAGAAGAAGAAGAAGAAGTCCATAGCAACATCTTACGTTCCAATGTCTATGTATCCCACATCTAACAACACAACTCACCGAGTCCTCAGCCATCTCTCGTCTGGACTTCTTCATCGCCTTTGACTTCCGGGAAAGACTCTCTCCATCTTCCACCTCCTAAGAAAAGGTGAAGATATAATTCTATTATCAATACCTCGTTAAAATTGTTGGTTATTCGTTTCAAATTAAGATTAACCCCATCCGTACATCGTGTTTTACTATCGTACCCATACGACTCTGGGGAACTCTGTGTCACCACTTTCCAAAGAGGAAAGGAAATTTGCTCGTTAATTCGATCCGTACGCTTTGCAGAGCAGTATGTCAAAATGATTTTTAAAAGAAATACTGAAAGCTACAAAGAGGTCTTCGTACTTGAAGTATTTTAAAATGTGAAGAATTCAACCCCGGGGGTACAAAATGACCCCAGGGCGTAAGGATAGGGTTAACTAAATGTTCTAAGGTTTTCCAATAAAAGTAACGGTGGGGCGAACACGAGGGTCTTATGGTACCTACCTCATCTTCCTCCGTCTCGTCCATCTGTCGTGTGGACATAGGTCTGGCCTTTGACCTCTGGGACAAGCTCTCTCCTGCATTCTCCTGAGGAAAGGTCAAGATATAATATCTATCTATCTCTCTATCTATCTATCTATCTATCTATCTCTTTTGATCTATCTCTCTCTCTCTCTCTATCTATCTATCTATCTATCTATCTATCTATCTATCTATCTATCTATCTATCTATCTATCTATCTATCTATCTATCTATCTATCTATCTATCTATCTATCTATCTATCAGTTACTTTAGTAAAGGTTTTACGGCGCTCGCAACAGCATAAGGTCATGGGAGCGCCAAGGGGTGGATGTCAACACTCTGCTCACCTCTCTAGCTTCAACAGCACAAAGCCTGCTTCGACAATCAAGGCACCCCGGAAATAGAGGGTCACAAGAGTGTGACAAACATACAAAAGAAGTAGCAGAAAATGACGATAGTAAGGATTAGGAAAGAAAAAAACAGCAGTTCCCTGTTGCAGTTCAGGCACAATTATGAGCCTGCCATTGATGAATCAGCCCATTTACAATTCTACTATGCATACGAATACGTTAATGTCCCCCCCCTTCCCTATTTGGGAATGGCCTAAAGACACTTCTGTCAGTAGCATCGTCCTATATCAATATATCTATCTATCTATCGATCTATCTATCTATCTATCTATCTATCTATCTATCTCTCTATTTCTCTATCTATCTATCTATCTATCTATCTATCTATCTATCTATCTATCTATCTATCTATATGGCTCTTTTCGTCTATGCAGACGGTCAATTTAGCTTAAGATGGTCTTCATGCAGCTTCTTTCATGGCTAATTCTCCCTATGTTTGAAGCGCAGATCCTGTAGCAGTGCTTGCATATCAGTGTCGTAGATCGAAGCTCTGTATTTCCGCTGTTTTCCTTTCGTCGTTGGCGCTTCTCAGCCTGGTTGTTTCTAAGGCTGTTCTCTAGCATTTTAGTTCTTTCCTTTATCATTTTCCTCCATGTTTTCCGGTCCTCAGCTATTTCTTCCCAGGTGTTAACATCTACTCAAAGCTTAGATAAGCTGTTTTTGCAGGTGTCTTTTTACCTCAATTTTGGTCTTCCTCTTTGTCTCTTTCCCTGGGCAAATTCTCCATACAGAAGTTGCTTCGAAATCCGGTTGTCATCCATTCTCTTGACATGGCCCAGCCATCTCAATCTTTTTAAACACAGGATAGTTGTTATTCTCTGGAGGTTTGCCCGTGCCAACACATCAACATTTGTAACCTTGTCACGCCACGAAATGCCTAAGATCTTGCAGCAGCATCTGAGACGGAAAATGTCGAGGCACTTTTCTTGTCTCCTGTACAAGGCCCATGTTTCAGATCCATAAAGGAGTGTGCTGAGGACACATGCTTCGTTAATCTTGATCTTTGTTTTGCATGGTTAATCTTTTGCTTTCCCATGCTCGTTTTGTCAGCCTTCCAAAAGTTTTTGCTGCTTTCCCTATCCTGATGTTGATCTCATAATCAAGTGATGTTGTAGAGCTGATGGTAGACCCCAGGTAACAGAACTTGTCCACTATATGGCTCTGCTCTGCACCTTCTTGGGTAAGGATGACTGTTTTCTTAACACTGATTACTAAGCTAAAGACCTTGCATGCTGTTGATAGGCGGTCCATCATTGTTTGTAGGGTTGATTCACTGTGAGCAACAAGAGCAGCATCATCGGCGAAGAGAAGGTCTTGTACTGTTGTTTTGTTGATCTTGGTCTTGGCCTTGAGTCGAGCAAGATTGAAGAGCGACCCATCAGTTCTCCAGTGGAGGAAGACATCCCCTGGTGACTCTTTGAATCCGTGTTGCAGTAAGACAGCAAAATAAGTACTAAAAAGGGTTGGTGCTAAGACACAACCTTGTTTTACTCCACTATTGATGTTGAACCGCCAAACTGAATGGTGGCCTTCATATCTTCGTGGAATGAGATGATAAGCTGTAGCAGTATCTGGGGACAGCCAGTTTTTCCAAGCATCATGTACAGTCATGATCTACTGACTGTATCAAAAGCCTTTGTCAGATCGACGAACGCAGTATGTAATAGCAGTCGTTGCTCCCTGCATTTGTCTTATAGCTGACGAATAGAAAAGATCATGTCCATTGTCGAGCGGTTTGACCTGAAACCACATTGGCTCTCTGGTAGGACTCTTTCTGCAAAATCTGCAAGTTTCTGAAGTCGCTTCAGGATGATCCTTGCGAAAGCTTTTCCAGTGATGCTTAGCAGTGAGATACCTCTGTAGTTGTTGCAATCTCCTTTGTCCCCTTTGTTTTGTAGAGTGTGGTGATTTTGGCATCTCTCATGTCATGTGGAATTTCTGCTTTCAGCCAACAAGTCGTTAGTAGCTTGTAGAGATATAGGAGGAGGGTCTCTTTGTTCTCTTTCAGCACTTCAGCAGTTATGTTGTCATTTCCTGCTGCTTTTCTGCAAGCCAGTCCATCGATTGCAGAGGAGAATTCTTCTTCTGTTGGTGTTGTATCAAGTTCTGACATTTCGGAGAGCTGAGGAATGGCCTCATGTAGCTGTCTATCAACATGTTGCTCCTGTGAGTATAAGTCTGAATAATGTTCCACCCATCTTTCCTTTTGTTTCTTCTTGTCTGTCAGCTGTTCACCTGTCGCAGACTTTAGAGGTGCCACTTTGTTTGCTGTTGGTCCAATAGCAACTCTGATGTTTTCATACATTTTCCTGATATTACCTGTATCGCTGGCCTGTTGAATTTCTGAGCATGACTTGTCCCAGTACTGATTGGCACACTTTCTGGTTTCTGTTTGAAGGTTGGATTTAGCAGCACGTAGTTGTTGCCTTGTACTCTCTGTTGGTTTTGTGTTGTTTTGTATCAGAATCTTACGCTTTTTCTCAAGAAGAGGTGCGAGTGTTGATGCACTGGCCTCAACCCAGTCCTCCTTGTAAGGTCTTTCTATTCCAAAAGTAATCGACGGAGAATTATAAATTGTTGATCTCATGCTATTCCACATGTTGTCTGGGGATGAGCTATCTAGATGTTGGAGCTCTTCTTCAACATGTTCTTGAAATTTTGCCTTTAACGCTGGGTCTTTGGTATTTCTTATGTTGATCTTAGGTTTCTTTTGTTTTTCAGCTCTTGGTGTTTTCTTTTTGACTATCTTTGTCTTAGCTATAACTAAAAGGTGGTCAGCGTTGCAGTCTGCACTGTACAAGGATCTTGTTTGCTTTACCATGCTGGCATCTTTCTTTCTGACGATGATGACGTCGATTTGGTGCCAATGGCCTGATCTTGGATGGCACAAAGAAACCTTGTGTCTGTCCTTGCCATTGTAGAAGGCGTTAGTGATACAAAGGTTGTTATTTGTGCAAAATTCTAAGAGTCTCTGACCATTCTCGTTGATTTTTCCCAGCCCAAAAGGTCCAAGGCAGGTGGGCCATACTTTGTTTTCAGTACCTACTCTTGCATTGAAGTCGCCCATGAGAAACAGGTGGTCTGCTTTTGGGACGTTGTTGATTGCATCCTGAAGTTCCTCGTAAAACTGGTCTTTTTTCTCATTTTCTGTTGTTAGGGTTGGGGCGCAGGCGCTGATGAAGTGAACCTTTCCAGTTTTGGTTTCCATTTCCATGACAGTGATACGTTCGGATATACCTTGGGGGGTGCTGATCCTGTTCAGCAATCTGTTGTGTACTGCAAAGCCCACACCATGCATTCTCCTCTCATCTTCTCCAAGACCCTTCCAGAAGAATGTGTATTTTCTTTTCCTGATGGTACCAGAATTAGCAAATCTTGTCTCTTGCAGGGCAGTGATGTCTTCATTGAGTCGTGTGAGCTCCCTGTCTGTGATTGCTGTCTTCTGATGTCCTCTGTTTTCTCCAGGTCGGTAGTGTCCAATCCGGTTGTCATTGTTCTAACATTCCAGGTCCCCAGTTTCCATGGGGTTAGTTTTACTCTTTTTTGCCTGGTGCTGGATTTAACGTCTGCCTTTCGGTTTTTGTCCTAGCTCCATACACACATAGAAGCAAACAGACGTGGCGGATCAGCACCTTACTGACAGAGGGCTGCCCAGTTTGAGACAGGCGATACCTGATCAGTGTGACCGAATAGTCACTCCCATCGTCAAAGGTGACCCGTGGCAACATCCTGTTTCGCCAAATAAGGATGTCATATAACCCGTAAACTGCCACCTCCCGTGTTTTTCCCTTGCTCGTCACAACAATGATGAAGTGTACTCTCCATAATCATATTGCTGTTGTAGCTGTGGTTGAGCTGTGGGTCTGATCCACTGTATTTGCTCTTTTGCAGCGTCCGCCCAGAAATCTTGACTAAGCTAAATGCATGGGCCTGACTATATGGAGAACGTGCCTTGCCCAATTTGCACGAACCCCCTCTCGACTTAGCTGATTTAGTCCAAAGGAGAGACGAGGTCAATACATTTGGAACCAGTAAAGTTGTAGGGGCTGCCAGAAGACAGTTCGGATCCTCCCTCCCTGTCGACTGCCTTAGGGGCCCTCCCTCCGGATTTGTTTAAGGTTTACTCCCTAAACCTTTCATACTCCCGTATGCACCTACAAGGCAGTAGGAACAGCTGCAGGTAGTACCATCTACTGTCATTGTCTCCACAATAAACAATATTTTATTACGATACTTTCAAGCAAAATGGAAAACAGAGCAATCACAATTAATACCACTCAAAATTTGGACTTAACATTATGTGCTCATTATTATTTTGCTTAGGAGCCATTGGTTTTGTGAAGAGCACGAACCCATTGGGCATTGAATCTATTACATTTTGGACATAATCATCTCTCATCTCATCTCAAATGTCACAGAGAGTTGAAAACAATTTGTCTGAATTGGGGCCAAAGTCGCTTTTCTTCAGTTGCTGTTTCATCGGACTCTAAATACCTGTATGATTTATATCCGAATATGGGGGATATTTACTGGTAACGACTCGGTATGATCTGATTTTCCAAGAATTATCTAGTGGTAGTAGCCCCGTGAGAAAGTATTTTGCTATGCATGGAAATGTCTACTTGAATGAATCCAGGACGAAAAAAAAGGTAAGACTTGACGTTTCAGCACTTGCGCGATGTAGTTCACTAAACCAAGCCATCCAGTGATTCTCATAAGTGCGGTTTTGTTCATTCCACCCCAGACCACCCAAAACTATGCCAGTTTTTGGCCTCTGTTTCTCAATAAGAGATGATTATGTCCAAAATTTTGTTTTTGTAGTTTTGGTTTTAGTAGGAGTTTTACGGCGCTCGCAACTGCACAAGGTCATATGAGCGCGTGAAAAAAAATTGTCGTTTCGCAACAGCACATTTTACAACAGTCCGGTTTGGGTTAATACGTTCACTAAAATGCTAAAATATTAAAATTTGGTGTAAATACATTTTTAATTTAAAATAACTATTTTAAATAACATAAAACATTTTAACAATTTTATTTCATTTACAACTTCCCATAAAGGTCAATGGCCTTCATAAAATCCAGAATTCTGTTGGGATCAACGACGGAAAACAGATCTTCCCTTTTTATGCATCTAAAATATTTTCTTCGGGTCTCTCTGAAGTCTAGACATTCGGTTAAAACTTCGTCTTTTTTGGAGAGGCCTGAAGGATTTCGGGGTCCCAGTTTGGGCTTAAATTTTGTAAAGTTTATTGTTAACTTGATTTTGATAAGGGTCTCCCACAAACTGGAGGCGTAGTTTTTGACTTTATTCTTACAGAGTCAGTCTTTGGGAGAGTGTTCGTCGTTGATCCCAACAGAAGGGACACGGATTCCTTCTCCAGGTGATCTACCTGCTCGTTTCCTCGGATGCCCACATGGCTAGGTAGTCATGCGAACACGATACTTTCCTCATTTTAGGTCAAGGCGTGTATTTTTGTTGTTGTAGTCTAACTATTTTTGTGTGTAGGAGTGTGTATTTTGTAAGTGAGGTGATGTAAGACAGAGAGTCAGAAAGAATAAGGAAAGATTTATTAGGAGAATTTTCAACGGAATCCAGTGCCATGTCAATGGCAGTGGCCTCTGCAGAGAAAATAGAGGCTTCGGGATGGAGTCTCCTCTGGTGTATACTGTTTGAAGATAGGGCTGGGGCGCCCACAGCGGAGTCCGATTTCGGAGCCATCTGTGATGATTAGCTCCGCACCGGGGTATTTTTCTATACGTTTTTTTTTTTGTATTCTGCTTTAAATGTTTTGGTGTTTGTGCTTGCTTTGTTGTTTGTGGTCAGACGTAAATCTACTTTTGCCTTGGTGAGGTGCCACGGGGGGAGGTCGGGAAATAGAAATTGTTGGATGTCTTGTTTGGAAAAGTGTATGTTTTTGAGGTCCTCAAGAATTCTAGGGCCGAAGGTTTTGATGAGTTTTTCTTTGTTCTGGAATTTCTTTATGGTGTCTGGGTTTGGTTTGTTTTGAAAATGCAGTCGTGTGCTGGGTTCTCTGGTGTTGAGCTCTATTTAACTGCGTATTGTAGTGAGAGTTGTAGGCGTCTGAGTGTGAGTGATGGTATGTTTGCCTCGGCCAAGAGGCTCTTCACCGGAGAAGTGCGGAAAGCCCCAGAGCGAGGCGGAGTCCTTGGTTTTGCACTGGGTCTAGCATTTTTTGGATGTGTGGTTTTGTCGATCCATATACTTGACAGCCGTAGTTAAGCCTGGATCGGACAAGGGAGATGTTCAAGTGGAGAAGGTGTTTTGAGTCCTCACCCCATTCCGGATGCGATAGAATTTCCAAAGCCTTTAACGCTTTCTGGTACCTCACACGAAGGTCTTTGATGTGTGGTAAGAATGTGAGGGTTTTTTTTGTCGAATATAACGGGTGACCATATCTTCTTGTTTTAGTTTTAGAAGGAGTTTTACGGCACTTGCTACACAATAAGGTCATATAAGTACTGAAGATTAGATCTGTTACTTGAGAGTGACAAACACAAAAAGAAGGAGGAGAGATCCAGGACGATAAATGGTTTGATAGGAAAGAGAGAGTAAACCACAGCAGACCACCCTGCAACCACCCATATTTCTTGAATAGTAAAGCAAGAGCTATATCGACGCTAGAGGTTTACTGCTAAAGGTATCGATTAACTCTGCTTGCTAAAAATTTACAATTATTCAAAGACAGAATCCCCCCCCTCCAAAAAAAATAAATTAAAAAATATAAATAAAACTTTGCACCACTAGGATTACACCTATGCGCACGGACGTCAACCTGATAAAAACAAGAAAGGCGGTCAAGATCAAACAATAATAACAAAACCTTAGCACTGTGAAAAAAGACACTGCTTGGTATGGATGTCATACTCTCAAAAGAAAGAAATAAACGAACAAACAAGAAATAACCGCCTTAAGAAATATAACACGAGTACTGACGTCATCGTCATCTGAAAGAGGATCCGGTTCCGACATTTACCGGGCAGTCCTGGAGGAGGTTTTTTTGGACAGTCTGTCGTCTGGTAACTGAGGGACCGTTTTCGTTTTAGCAGAGGTTTTACGGCGCTCGCAACTACATAATAAGGTCATACGAGCGCGAGAAGATTAGAGGTGTTACAAGAGAGTAACAAACACAAAAAGAAGGAGGAGAGATTCAGGACGATAGATGGTTTGATAAGAAAGAGAGTAAACCGTAGCAGACCACCCTCCAACCACCCACATTTCTTGAACAGTAACGCAAGAGCTATATCAATATGCTATATAGAAGCTAGAGATTTACTGCTTAAGGCATCGATTGATTTTGCTTGCAAAACATTTATAATTATTCAAAGACAGCATCCCCCCCCCCGCAAAATAATAAAAAATAAAATGTGAGGCAGCGTGGTGGAATCAGGCTCTCGTCCATTTTTTGGCATGTAGAGTTATTGATATCATCTTAAAGTTTGTTCACTTGTCTTTATTTTGATGAAAAAAATATCCATTTATTTTGAATACAAGTCGAGATATTTGCGAAAGAAGGAGGTGGGGGTCACCTGTTTTCAGAAGTAAAATTAGTGAGAAAATGGCCACCAAAGATTAGTTATTTCCTTAGTTTAAGAGTCCGTGGTAACAGAAAATTTACATTTAGTGTGCCTGTGTCAACGTTTTTCAGAAAAATTTCACACAGAAAGAGTTCTTTGATGAGCATGAAAGGTGTGAGCCAAAAAAAACCCAACAACAAATATTCGATAAAAAAATTGCAAACATGCGGAAAAATCAAGTTTCCTCACTTTGATTATTTTGGCGAGAGCCTGATTCCACCACGCTGCCTCAAAAATAGAATAAAATTTTGCACCACTAGAATAACACCTATCCGCATTGACACCAACCTGATAAATACAAGAAAGGCAGTCAAATTCAAACAATAACAATAAAACCTTATCACTGTGGGAAAAGACACCGCTTGGTATCGATGTCATACTCGCAAAAGAAAGAAAAAAGAAACAAAGAAAAAATAAGGGGCACAAGAAGTACAACACGAGTACATGTACTGACGTCATCGTCATCTGAAGGAGGATCCGGTTCCGCCATTTTCCGGGAAGACTTGGAGGACTTGGACGATTTTTTGGACAGTCTGTCGTCTGGTAACTGAGGGATCGTTTTTGTTTTAGTAGAGGTTTTACGGCGCTCGCAACTACATAAGGTCATAAGAGCGCCAGAAGATTAGAGGTGTTACAAGAAAATAACAAACACAAAAAAAGAAGGAGGAGAGATAAAGACGATAGATGTTTGATAGGAAAGAAGGAGTAAAGCACACCAGAGCACCCTCCAACCACCCACATTTCATGAATAGTAAAGCAAGAGCTATATCAATACGCTATATAGACGCTAGAGATTTACTGCTTAAGGCATCGATTGATTCAGCTTGCTAAACGTTTATATATATGTTCAAAGAGAGTACAACCTCCCCCCACCCATACCAAAAAATAAAAAAGTTGCCCTACTAAAAATACACAGAATTGCATTGACGCCAACCTGGTAAAAACAGGAAAGGCGCAGACGAGCTCAAACAACAATAATAAAACATTAGCATAGTGCAAAAAGACACCGCTTGGTATTGATGTCATACTCGCAAAAGAAAGAAAGAAACAGAAAAATAAGCGCGATAAGAAATACAACACGAGTTGTAGATTAGAGGGGTTACAAGAAAGTAACAAACACCAAAAAGAATGAGGAGAGATAAAGATGATAGATATTTGATAGGAAAGAAGAAGCAAACCGCACCAGAGCACCTGCCAACCATCTACAGGGATCGTTTGTTGGCGGGGGTAAACGGTTACGATTAGCCAGGATTAGCCGGGAGTACATGAGGGAGCTGCCTTGCTAAACAAGGACCTGAGACATTGTTTGTATGCTAGTAAAGAAAAGGCTAACCACTATTCGTTACCTCAGAATTACAAAGTTCCGTCTGACATTTCTGACGGTTTTGAGTTACTAAAACAATGAGACCAGAAAGCAAAATAATGCTCTATTTGCTCTATCAAAATCGTAAGAATATTCTGAGTCGTTCTCAAGATATTCAGTCTGTCGACGTGTCAACAGTTTCTTTGTGGATGCACATGAGAATGTGTTTGCGTGTATGTGTGTGGGTGTGTGTGTGTGTGTGTGTGTGTGTGTGTGTGTGTGTGTGTGTGTTTGTGTGTGTGTGTGTGCATTTACGTATGTGTGGATATGTGCGTGTGCGTGTGTGAAGGGGTGGGAGGGGGGAGGCAGAGGCGGGAGGGGTGTTTAAATGCGTCTGTGTATCTTTGTGGAAAAATATCTGCGTACGGAACCTATTATTTTCATAGTGATAACAGCGTCCTAATTCCAATTACTTATTGAATTTCAACTCATTCAACTTTGTGGCCCTAACAATATTATTCTATGTCTATAATTGCATGAATATTATGCTGGTGTCTGAGTACCTTTCTAAACCTACGACAAAGCCCAAGTATCCGAAATAGTCTTCATTCCTGCCTTTCTGTTGGCCTAGTGGTTAGGCTGCCGGACTCGTAATCGTGAGGTTGCAGGTTCGGGGGTTCGAGCCGCGGGCCCGACGTTGTGTCCTTGGGAAAGGCACTTTACACGAATCTCCTTCACTTCACCCAGATGGGAATGGGTACCCGGGCACAGACAACGGAAGATCTTGTCAGCAAGTTAGTGTTTTAGGGCCTACAAATGGCTGCTTGCACTGTATGCTTCCCAGGAAGTTGAGGTTGTTTCAGAAGGCTCTCAGGTCAGTTGGGGTAATTGTATAGATTGTGAAGCGCATAGAGCTTGCAGTTGAGCGGGGGTTTGCGCTATACAAATGCTACCTAGTATTATTGTTTGTTTATGTCCGAGCTGGTCAACGTCGACTACAACTGACATGTGTTATGGTGTGTAATCCTCACGTTTTCCACCCAACCCTCTCTCCTCCTACGCCCATCAAGCATTTAATTCATGCTCACTCACTCTGAAATAGTAAGTATTTTATAGGTTTAACGCTCCTCTCAACACAAAAAGGTTATTTAAAGGCTGGGAACTTCAAATCTAATGTCAGTCTGCAATAGGATAGAGCCGAATGGGCAGAGAACCTTAATAATCTTCTTATAACAACCCAAGTTCAGAACACTCGATTACTGAAGCAATGTCATCCGTTCCTTAGTCAAGCATGAGATGCACAATCACGCGCATAAAAATAATCTGCAAATATTAATTTCAAGAAAACAATCTCCTCAATACACGCCGAAGGTGGAATGAGAAAAAAAAGAAAGGGGGAGTGGGGGTGGGTGGGTGGGGTCGAAAAAGCCACTCCAGCGGTAAGTGCAAGAAAGGAAAATCAAATGATTGATTATGTAGGTGTTTTTACGCCTCAATTAACAACATACTGATCATTTGAGAGGTCTGTCTGGGTCAACCGGGGGTGAGAGGGATACAGCATGATTCCAGTAGAAAAACCGAGATACACGCTTGATAAAAGGTTTCCCCACTCAGGAATCCAACTTGAGTCTTGCGCAAGCGACGGTGAAGAGCCTGATCACAACACCACAGACACCACTGTAGACAGCCAGAAAAGTTTAACTTTTCGAGCAGCATTTACTTTATTACGTCGTCTCTGGCTTTCTATCCTTCTTTCTTTTCTCCTCTTTAACATATGATGAACCACTTTAGGCAGTTGCAAGCCCCTTAAAACTTTCACCAAATCAAACCCAAAGTATGTGATCTGCCTTCAAAGGAACATTTGTATTTACTGTTACGCTGGACTCAGAACAATATAAAAATTATACACGTTTGCAAATTGACATGAGAATACTTTTAAAACCTTTTTCAAAACACTCCAATATATAGAGTTCTCAAGACTTGCATAATTTAATAGTATACCCAGTGCATACCACAGGAGATTTGTTTGGTAAGAGTTTTATGGCGCTCGCAACTGCACAAGGTAATAATTATGAGCACGCCAAATACAAGTTGGTTACATTCGCAACAGTTCACAGCATGGGGTTTGATTTCACTGTTTTATGGTAAGGTTAAACAAGATAAAAATTTCTCACAGGAGTTTGTTGTGAACGTTTTATGCCATCATTGTAACCGTTAATATCGACGCGTACTCTGAACTACTCAAAACTGACGTTGATTTAGCCAGTTTTCAGAGACAGCTGATTGGACAATGCCAGTCAGAATCAATCCATTGATCTGAATACAGCGTTCCAGAAGAGTTTTTCAGAAACCGTCTGGATGCTTGAATACAGCCGCTCAAAAAAGACCACTGAAATATGTCATGACAAAGATTTACCCCCGAGGGTACAATTCCACTGGTAACAATTTCAGGAAGTAAAAGGACATAACTCCGACAGTGCAATAGTTTGGTCATTTCTAGCATATTATCTCATTTGTTACCGAGATAATTCCCTTGTGGCTATCAAAAATACGAGAAATTCGTATTATGCTCTTAGGAAAAAAACCACACACATAATTTTAGCATAAATAAACTGAGGGGAGTCTTTGAGTGTCCCCCGAACGCAGAAAACATCACATAAAATTGAATGGAAATACAATTCACAGACACCATCTCGCAATGACGTTTGCCCTACCTCGCCAGAGCCATCCAATTCCACTGACCCTCTCCTGGACGCGGTCCGTGAAGATTTCTTGGATGAATGTAGACCTGTCTCCTTGTGGTGAATGGAAGAAATTAAAAAAGTGGATCACATGGTTTGACGAAAGGGTCTCTCTCTTTCTGTCTCTCTCTATCTCTCCCTCTCTGTCTGTCTGTCTGGCTGCCTGTATGTGAGTCTGCCTGTCTGTCTCCCCCCCCCCCTCCCCCCCTTTCTCTCTCTCTTTCTCTCTTTCTTCTCTCTCTCTCTCTCTCTCTCTCTCTCTCTCTCTCTCTCTTTCTAAACTCTAAAGTATCCACTGCGCACACATGAGTTTGTTATATTATTTTCTGTGAATGTTTTACGTCCCAATTGCAACACTGCTAGTACTAACCTGGTCAATGGGAAACAACTAAGTAAACAAGATGCAAAACTCGATAAAATAGGTTTCCTTCTGTGGGAAAAGACCTGTCTTGTGCGTGCACATGGAACAGCGCACACTCATCAGCAGGATATAAACACCTTGAACTAAGGCACGACATAATATGCGAGGCAGCGTGGTGGAATCAGGCTCTCGTCAAAATAATCAAAGTGAAGAAACTTTTTCCTCAGGTTTGTGAATTTTTTTCAAATTTTTGTTTTTTGGCTCAACACCTTTCATGCCTATTAAAGAACTCATTTCTGTGTGGATTTTTCTGAAACACGTCGATTAAAGACACCAAAAATGTAAATTTTCAGTTACTACAGACTCTTAAGCTTAGGAAATAACTAATCTTTGGCGGTCATTTTCTCATTTATCCTACCTCTGAAAACAGGTGACCCCAACCCCTTCATTCGCGAATATCTCGACTTGTATTCAAGACAAATGGATATTTTTTTCATCCAAATAAAGACTGGCTAAAAAACTTTAAGATGATACCATAACTCTACATGCCCAAAAATTGACGAGAGCCTGATTCCACCACGCTGCCTCACATATAATGACATGAGTGTCTACGTCCAACATAATATACATGTTGAATACAATGGTCCGATAAACCCCATTTCGCAATTTGGCATTTGTTGGAATCTTGCAACCATCCATCGAATTGGGATATTTATCCTGGCGCTAGTCAAAGTCTTTTTTGTTCGTTTTAGTAAGCGTTCCATGGCACTTGAAGAAACAAAATTAAGTCATTTAAGTTCCGAAGAATTGAGGTGACACAAGAAAGTAACAAAAAACCCAAAAAAACAACAAAAAACAAACAAACAAAAAACCCCAAAAACAACCAAGGTGGAGCGATAAGGAGGATAGATGTTTATTTGGAAAGAAGAAGTAAACCACACCAAAACACGCATCAAGCACCAACTGTCTGAGTCTTGGGATATTTATCCCGAAGTCCTCGCCGGCTCCCTATGTTCCCTTCTCGAACCATTGAGCTAGTCTCCAAGATCATCAGCTTAGGACTTACAAATGCGGAACACAAGATAATATTCAGAGTTGCCACGAATTTCTAAACATTTTCCAAATCAAAGCAAAGGAGATCGAATCCACATCATCGCACTACTTAAACAACCTGTCATCGAGCAGTCCTACCTGGTCATTGTCCACTTGCTCAGCTGACCCTCTCCTGGACGATGTCTTCGAAGACTTCATGGATGAACTTTGACCTGGCTCCTTGTGGTGAATAGGAGAAATTTAAAGAGCATACCTCGTTTTGACAAAGAGAAATCTCTTTCTCTCTCACACTCTCTCTCCCTCCCCTCCCCTTCTTTCTTTCTTTCTCTCTCTCTCTCTCTC